CTGGTGGAGAGGTTTACTCCGGAAAGGCGATTGTTTGCCCTTAATCCTCAATTACGAGGATTTCAAAATAGTATTAGAAGAGCAATCTGTTCTGCAACTTCTCGGAAGAAATAATTGTTGATTTAGATAAGCACTGATCCCTTCAGCGTTTGATGAAGACGTTAATTTATGGCTGTCTAGCAGTTTATGGCTGTCATTAGATTTTCAGCTTTGTCTCTGTTCGAGATGTATCTTTCTTTTTATTTTAATCTGAGACAATTATGTAAGAAAACGGCTATGTTTGCTCTAAAATGCATCGTTTTCCTATAGCGTTTCAAATTATTCACAGATCATAGTTCTTATATGTGCATATATGAATTTAAAAATACAGCAGTAAAGTGCTTGAAACAGACCATAAATTTGCTTCATATTTTATTACACGTCTCTGAATCAGATTGAGAGGACAAGGGCAACTAGGGGCTTAGGGGAGGATTTAACCCTTCCCGAGGTGGAGAGCCGACCAGAGCAGCGCAAACTCCCTCCGGAGCGCTTGGGGAGGGGGCTGACACCGATCTGATGAGTGACCACGGGGAAATGAGGCTGGCTCCCTCTCTTTGCTCATTTAGCAGCTGCTCCTTCCGTGGCATAGCCGGCTGCCTGGGCTCCCCGAATCAGGCCCGGGGCGCCGGGGCCGCCGCGCTGGGGTCCGCTCCCGGCCGTGGCTCCAGCCTTCCCTCCCGCCGGGGCCGGGAGGGCACCTGGCCGGCGTGCAGGACCGGCTTAACCCCTGCAGTGCTGCCTGAGCCAAGCGTGATACTTCGCAGGGAGCCAGCACTAACCCTCCGACGGTAGTCCACCGGGGGGGGGGGGGGGAAGGACCCAGCCCCGTCGAGCAGCCTCGCGGAACGGGCGACGGTGACAGGGACCGGGGCCCACAGCCAGTTCCCCAGAGTTTTGTCCCGCCCCGCCAAGGAGCTGTTCCACCCTTACTGAAGACTTAGGATCCCTCTGGCCTGTTGGCAGCGGGTGCGATCAAAGTTACAAATGATCCCGGAGAGAAGTGGCCGAGATCTGGCTTCTTTATTTTAGTCTCCAACTTACCTCCTTCCGCCACTACCACCACCAAAAAAAGGTGTTAATTGCCGTAAAGTTTCTGAACACGTGGATAATTTACTTTGTCTGCTGCGTTTTAATTAAAAGCAAACTTATTTATGTTTCTGATGTTTATATTACGCGATTTAATTACGTTTAGAGGCAGAGTCGCACTTCCCCCCCTGCCCCCCTTCCACTCTAAATCACATTTTCATTAAAGGTTTTAATAAGAAAACTCACTTGACCACTATTCATTATCTAGTCCCCTCCATGCACACAAGTTCACTTACCCATTCATTTATTCACTTACTCATTCCAGCAGATCCGCTGCAACTGCTGCTAGCAGGGATGTGAACACTCATAATTATTTGTCAAAGTCTGGAAAGTGTATTATCCCTTCTTCTAGTGGTAATTAGTTACCATAGCATCTAATACGTAAATGTGCCCAGAGCACACCATTAACAGTTAAGCGGAGGATTCAATTTAACACATGATTATATCTTTCATAAGTCATTACATTAGGAAAGCCAATGTCACTCATGCTGGGACAATTTGAGGCTCCGAGACGGGGTACGGGGCCGAGAAGGAGCCGGGCTGAGCGGCGAGGGGCAGAGGGAGCCTTCGGAGGAGGCTGGGGGCGAGACCGCGGCTGTGGGAAGGTGGGAAAAGGGGAAGAAGCTCCTTGGAAGGGGGGGACACGTTCGGTTCCGGCTAAGCGATCCATCAAGCGTTAAGAGGGGCGGGGGGGCTCTCTCCTCCCCCCACCCCCGGCACACACACGGCGCACACGTTGGCCAGACCTGCCCAGGACTGGTCGGCGGCTTCTCGTCGCTCTCCGACGAGGCTGCTGGGTGCAGAGGGCTGGGGGTACAGGCAGCACCCCTCCCTGCCAGACACCCCTTCCCCCCTCTGCAGCGTGAAAGGAGGAAGCGAGAGAGCGCAAAGCTGGGAGGCATCAGGGAATGAAGAGTGTTTCATTCTGCTTTCCCGCTTCAAAGCAGAGACAGGCGAGGGAGAGGGGAGTAGAGGAGCCGCTACATGTGCCACAGGCGGCCCCGCAGCCCGCACTCTGCCCGGCCTGCACCTAGGCCCTTCACCAGTGCCCGGGAGGCAGAAGCCCCCCGCGGGCCCTCTCACCCCGCTTTCCAGCCCGGCTCCTGGCCTCTCCGGGAGTTTGCTGGGACCTCACCTGCTTCCCGCGTCCCACGCCTTCCCGGGGAACCCCTCCGGGAAGCCCGCTCTGTAGGCAGGGATATTAAGCGGTAAAGATCGCAGCAAACGTGTCCCTCGATGTTAGATGCACGAACACACACTCACACAGACACACACACACACAGGCACGCACCACGCCAAGCTGGTGGCCGTGGTTAATTCCTAATCAGAATGATGGACAGCAGAGACAGAACAATACAAACTAATGGCTGTGTTGCTGATCACTTTACCCCTTGATTAAAGACACCCAATTATGGCGCAGAACAGTGTCGTAATTATGTTCCTTAATCACATCCAGGAGGTTTAATTGCCTTAACGATGTGTTTCATTAAATGAATTTAGGTATTATAGTCGACAGTTTTCATACACAGTTGTTTTCAAATTAACATAATATTAGACATCGTCATGGAAATTGTTTTAATAATCATAATTAGACGCACCCAGCCTTTGTCTAGTAAATGCTGAGAGACGCTTCTCCTTGCGCCTGGAGGCTGATCTGCCCACCCTCTCTGGGCTGCCTTCCCACAGCTCCGTGGCACTTTACAGTTATGTTTCCTGAAAAGTTACAGGTTCTGATTAATCTTTTTTGATGGGAAGTGGAGCAGAAAAGATTTATCCCCTTCCTCCGCCTCTGGTGCTGCCGTTAGGAGAGGCGGCTCCGTGGACCCCTGCCGCCGACCTGGGCCTCCCGAGAGGAGGGGAGACCCTGCGGGACCGGGACCCCCGGGCCGGGCCCAGCGCAGGGCTGGCAGCTCTGGTGAGCTGCCCGCTCCTCTGACCTCAGATCTGGGGCAGGTCGGAGGCGACACGAGGGGACGGGTGGCTCCAAAACTTGAGGGTAGGGAGGAGATGGGGGAGGGGAGTCCGGTAGCTCACCCCGGAGCACACCCAGCACCACGGTAGAAACGCACCACAGAGAAGACCTTTTCCCCCTCCCCTCTTTGGGACACTCTGAGCTGGGAGTGGGGTGCCAAGGGGGTACCGTGGCGCCCTCAGAGCAGGGCAAAGGAAATTAAAAGGAAATTATCCCCCCCCCCCCCCCCCCATCTGGAGATAGACGCTTAACAAAGCACAACACAACAAAAGCGTTTGTTCAAAATATTTTAATAAAGATTCTTTCCGACATAGATACACATACAAACGATCATACATTGCTGTCATAATCTGACCTATTTAATATATATCACTCTTTACACATCCGTGACCTGCCAACAGATCCATCATGGCTCCTATTTTGCCATCCAACCTGACAGTCCGAATTTGTATTATCTGCAAGTAGTGGAAAACAGCAGGACTCGTTTTTGAAAAGGGAAGAAAAAAAAAGAAAACAAATATCTTGATTTACAAATGGCAGAGAGACAACCACCCAGCCATGCAAACTCAAACTGAAGGCTCACTTTGGGTGAACAGCTACTTCTTGCTTTTCATCTCTTATTTTCCTTCTCCGAAAACCCTCCCCCCCAGCCCCCAGAAATAAAAGAGAAGAATTCCACGCGTTCTGTAAATCAGCCGAAAGTATTTTAAAGTATTTTAACTTAAATAATCATCCACAGTCAGAATAATTTACATACACATTAAAAGCGGTTTAAATTATACCTTTGAAAACACAGCGCCTGGGAAAACACTGGCTTGGCAAGTGTTCTTGTAGCAGCTATTGATCTGATGCCTTGTAAAAGTAAATAGCTATTACCTGTTCTAATGCAAAGAATACCCTCTCAAAATTAGTTGTTTGAGCAATTAAGAATACACCTTTCCTGTAATTTTTGGACTGAAGCAATTTATTAAAGCTCAATTTAAATACAGGGATGATGCAACTTAAAATCCAGATGACCTTTCATAAGCCTAAGCAGCTCGGATACATCAACATTTCTGGTTATACGTTGTTGGCAAATAAACGTTTTAAACACTTGGCACACAGCTTAAGTTAATCCATAAACAGAATTTCAGAAGCATTTAAAGTAACTGCACGTAAGACCCGTGACCTTAACACATGATAAATATTGTTGGTGTGGAAGGGTCATTTAAAGAATAACAAATAAATAGCATGTCCTGTTTATACATCATTGCAAAGTGAAAAGAAACAAGGTGCACATAAATATTTCTATTAAAAATGCGATACTTTCAGCCACACGGAGTAGGCTTTTGATCTTTTTCCTCTTTTTTTAACTCTCTTAATTTATTTTTTTTAAATCACTCTCACCAAACTTTGCGCATTTTCACAGGATCAAAGTTCAGAGACGATAAAAAATACAGTCTTCCATAGCAATGGTCTTTGTTTCTGGGTGTCGCTTAAATAAGTTTACATTTCAAGTTTGTTTGTTTCCTGGCTTAGAATAATAATAATACTGCTAATAATAATAATAATTAAAAAAAAATCTATGTTCAAGTGCCCTCTCTGATTTGTCCCATCCACATCCGCGCCCGGGCCGTCGCGGCTCCTTCCCCTCCCAGGGGCCGCCAGACCGGGGTGAGGGATGATCTCCAGCCCTCTCCCCGGTGCTACTCCGGCTCCCGGCACAGCCTGACGCTTCTTCCCGGCCTCTCTTTTGTCCGGCCGCGCAGCGAGCGCTCCGACGGAGCGAACACTCCATCCCCCGCTCCCCCCAGGCCGGGGAACCCCCGGCCCCCCGCCCCACGGCCACACGCACGCTGGCTCCCGGCGCCGTCCCGTTCCGGCAAGACCGAAGGAGAAGAGCTAGGCGAAGCGAGGCCGGGCTGAAGGCGGCGGGGACCGATCGCCGGTCAGTCCCTCCGCAGCCCCCGCGACCTCCAGCCCGGGACCGGGGCCGAGACACCGGCTGTCGCCGCTCCCCGGGGCCGCGGCGGTGGCGGGGGGCGGCAACGACAGCGGCCCTTAAGGCTTCTCCGTGCACTGTTTGCAGAGGCTGGAGGAGACGCTGTTGAAAATGGCACATTTCTCCGGGCAGGAGGTAGCGGGGGGCAGCCCGGCGCTGAAGGGGTACCCGGCCGCCTGCTCGTAGGCGCCGAGGGCGGGGTGCAGCGCCGCCGCCGCCGCAGCAGCAGCCGCAGCAGAGCTGGGCAGGGAGGCGGCCGAGATGGCCTGGCCCTGGTTGAGATAAGCCACCAGGCGCCGCATCTCCTCCAGGGCCTGCGCCTGCATCAGGATGTAGTTCTTGGCCAGGAGGAGCGTGGCGATCTTGGAGAGCTTCCGCACCGAGGGGCTGTGCGCGTAGGGGATGACCGCCCGCAGCTCGTCCAGAGCGTCGTTCAGGTCGTGCATCCGCCGCCGCTCCCGCGCGTTGATGTTCAGGCGCAGCGCCTTCTGCTCCTTGGACTTCTTGCTGCCGCCGTGCCCGTGGCTGTTGGAGCAGCCGCCCTCGGCCGCCTTCAGCCCCCCGCCCCCCCCGCCGCCACCGCCGCCGCCCGCCGCCGGCGAGGCGACGCGCGGGTCCCCCCCGGCGCCGCGCAGCACCAGCTCGCAGCGGCCGTCGCTGTCGTCGTCGGGGCTCTGCTCGCCGCCGCTGCTCTCGGCCACCGAGCTGCGGCTGGCGCTCTCGCCGTACTTGACGCAGACGGAGCCCGGCGGCAGCGCCAGCGGGTCGCCGCCGACGCCGGGTTGCAGCAGCGCCTCGGGCTCCGCCGCCTCGTAGCAGGCGAGCGGCGAGGGCTGGCGGTCGCGGGGGTGAGAGAGGTCGAGCCCAGGGGGCGAGCGGAAAGCAGACTCCATGCGCTTGGCCGAGGCAGCGAGGCTCTTGTGGAAGAGGTCCTCTTCTGCGGGCAGCCCCAGCGCCCGCTCCATCGGCGCCCCGCTCGCCTCCGCCTCCTCCGCCCCCCTCAGCTCCCTGCCCGCTCCTCCAAGGCTCCGCGCCGCGGCGGGCGGCTCCCCGGCGTCCCGCTGGCAGAAATCGCTTCCCGGCTCCCGCCGGGGCTGTGCTGTGCCTGTCGCCGCTGCTGCCCTTGCTCCGGCGGCGTCTCGGGCTCGGGCTCGGGCTCTTGCTCTGGCGGTTCCGGCTCTGGCGGCGGCTGTGCTCGGGCTGTGACTCCGGCTGCAGCTCCGACTCCGGCTCGCCCTCAGCAGGCGCTGCGCTGGGGCATTGTGCGCTGCCAGTGGAGCCGCTTCCACCGTTTATCTTGCTTGGATTCACCTTCAAGAGATTTCCGGACCCATCAACCAGCAGCCGCCGCAGACGGGGGAGTCTTTTACATCATTATCTCTGAGAGTAGGTTATTATGAAGAAGACTCGCCTGTTGGGACAGAGCTTTCTACCCAATCAGGTTAACGTTTTAATTAATAGGATTAAAACGGTAACAAACAATCCCAGGCGCTATCTGGCCCTGAGTCTGAATAGTTGCTTTTCCCAGGTCTGAAGACAGGCAGCAGCTAGAGCTTTATAAGAGGCGCCTGCTCCATTATTCTCCCTGCCATCTGTATACACAGCTTAACGCATATGTTTGCAAGACGTTGTGTCCTGTTAGTAACCCAACAACTGCCTTTAGCTTGACATGTGTGGCGACTTTCACTCATCAATGAGCACACTAAAAGCCCTACTTAGATCGAAGGATGTTCTTTGCCTCCTTCAGCAAATTACAACCCTGCACTGCAGAAAAGCCCGCTTCAACGCTCCCCTTCCGAGTGCTGCCAGCAGACTTCTGCTAACTTAGTCGTGGAGTCAGGAGTGACACCCTCTCCCCCCACCCTAGCCCACCCACCCCCTGCATTTACATTAACTTAGAGCCCCCCTCCAACCCCCACCGGTCTTCCCGAAAAGCATCGCCTGGGAAAAAGATCCTAAAATAATAACTAAAAGAAGCGGAGGGACCCCAGCAGCCGTGTCCGCTCCTGTCCCCCGCCAAAGTCCAACTCCCTTCCCTGGAAGCCGGATGGCCCCTAGCCCCCTCTCCCCCTCCTTTCCAGCAAGAGGAGACCAAATTACAGGGAGGCTCCCCTCCTCCTCCTCCCTCCCTGAGCTCTTTCCAAGCAGCAGATTGCCGCTTTAGAGTGATGATCCCCCGTGTCCCTATAAAAAATATAAAGCCCCATCAGTTACTTTGCAAATGAACCTATCTGGGGAGGAGGGAGCGCGGAGTGAGAAAGGGCAACCCCCACCAAACTTTTTTATTATTATTTATTTACTGTGATTGACCAACTCTTTGCAGCTCCTTCCCTACCCGCCTCCTTCGGCAGGAGAGACCCGCTTCACTCCCCAGCTCCTGGGTGCCGCCACCGGTGCCGGGAAGATACCCTGCTCTCCTCCCGGGGCTTCTCCCCCCTTCTTGCCGGGCACAGGCTCTTCTGCGCTCTCTCAGAGCCTGAAGTGGCAACCCCAGGGCTGGTCTGAATTTTGTCCCGCTGCTCCTCTACTGCTGGAGGCGAGCAGCTCGCTCTCGCTCTACTGTTAGCGCTCAGGGTATTTAGTGGCAGGTTTTCATCCTTCTGACATCAGTAAAACCAATATTTCCCAACACTTCCAGTAAATCATTCTTATGTGGCAGAATTACTGAAGGCTATGAAATTTTTTAGTTTCTCTGGTTTCATTAAAAACCTTTTAATTGTGTCTTTCAGAGTTGGCCCCAGGTGTTGGACTCTTTTCATTACATTTTGCTCTAATGTGATGAAATTCTAATTCTCTCCTTACCATATGGTTAAATTTCCCCACTGAGAATTAGTTGAAAAAGGAGAAATAATCTATTAATCTCTGTAATAGATTCACAAATGAGGTTTGCCACAGAACCTGTTTTTGAATGGTAATATCAGAACAGTTGGGTGCCTTGTTTTAGGAAAGAAAGGACCAGGCGACAACAGAAAACGTTTGAATTTTCACCTGGAAAGAATGAAAAGAAGCCAAGCTGCAGATTTCAGAGTAATTGACTGAGATTTCATCTAGCGAGGACATGACTACAATACAGACCTTCCTCACCTCGTGTCTCCGGATCAGAGCCGAACACACAAGCCGAGACCTCCGAAGAGAAGGGGGGGGTGTCTCCCCCCCCCCCCCCCGTCCTCTTCCCCCCGTCCTTCTCCCTCCCAACCCCGTTTGGCTGCTGCGCTTGTCCCTGGTCGCCGTCCAAGCGCGCAGGCACCGAGCGCCTCGCTCCCCTCCCCCTTTCCAAGGGATGCCACCCTTAACCTCTATCATTATTAATCCAAAGGTATTTTCGGTTTATTGTTTTCCAATTAGCAATTTCATTTTTCCTTGGGATCATTAACAAAGGATTTTATAATAGCAGTAGTTTATTAAAAAAATAATTATTTTGTCTGTTCAATACCAAACTTGTAAAACTCATGTGGTCACTTAGGGATAACGGATACTGTTGTTTTAATATGATGGTTAGGGCAAACATTTAATTCCTCGCAACTTATTTTTGTAAGACGGAGTTCCCTGGCTCGATCTCTTCAGCTAATCTGTGGGTTCACTAGTGCTACCTCCCCTCTTTTTCCCTGCACCTCTGGGGACGTCATGCCCTCTCGCTCCGCAGGCGACGGAGCGGCGGGAACTGTCGGGCCGAGCCGTCGGGGCAGGCTGACGGGGACACTGCGGCTATCTCCAGGAGGTCTCCCCTTGGCCTCGGCTGCCTTCGCTCGGGTTTGCGCCCTGTGTCTGAAATTTGTCTCTTTCCTTCTAAGCTTTCTGCTGGTCCCCGTCCACCCGTCAACCTGCCTGATGCTGATCTGCCTGAGAATATGGCTACGTGCTTGCTCCCGCTTCTGTCCGTCCTTTCATCCACCTCGCTTTTGCTTTTACTTCTCTCCATCCTTTCCTTTCCCCTTCTTTCTGGGTCTGATACTGTTCTTGATGTATCCCAGTCCTCTTGCCGATGCTTTCGCCTGTCACTTGCCGTGCTATAATGATGCCAACTTTCTCCCAAACTTTAGCTTGGAGGGGGGGAGGTAGGGAGAAGAAAGTGGAGGGCACAAGGAAACAGAGAGAGCATCTCACCTCTCCCGGTCCCGCCTGTTATGTTCTGTCTCTCCCCCCCTCCCGAAGAAGTGGCTGTTTAATAGTCTACTGGAACTTTAGTTTGGAGCAGGCAGAAGAATTTATAGAAGCTTTAAATGCGGGGCTTATAAAAATACCGAGGAATGGTCTTTGAGGTTTATGTACTCGTAAACTTTTGCTGATTGCTTCTGGGAAGTTGTCAGGCATTTAACACTGCGTTTATCTTACAGCGCAATGAAAACACATCTGCCCAGCGTCTTGTTATCTCGCTTAATTGTACCGCAGCCCTCCGTCACCGGTTCCGCTCCACTTGGGCACTATTTCGGGCAAGGAGCAGCTCGCACCCAGGCTGCAGAGAGGGATACTCCGGGCGTCCTGGAGCATCACACGCATCCTCCGGGCACTGGCCGTCCCGGCGGGGCTGCGGGGAGTTGGGAGGGTCCCGAGCACCGATGAGAGCGGGCAACACAGCGGCTGCTGATTTTCCACGGTGTCTTTCGCAAAATCTGCTCGAGAGTCACTTTGTTCTGCTCCCTACCCGGGGGAGAAGTTAACCCCCCCCTTCCCTCTCCCCAGGGCTGGACTTCCCGTTTCATGAAAAGCCTCCTGGAGGAAAGACGCTCTCCAGAATTTTCCTAAAGGCGTCCAGCAACTGAATGCTGGTGAGGCAGATTTTAGGCAGCCGAAGGCAGCCTCTCCCTGCCTTCTCGGGGCAGAGAACGCCGTGTACGCCGCGGCAGCAGGCTTAGGTCTTGGGATCACCCAAGTTCCCCGTCCCTTTCCAGCGGCTCTGCCCCAAGCCCCTCAGCCTCCGGCACGCTGAGCCTGGGGGAGCAGGGCCGGGCGTCGAGCTCCGGGGGCAGCGGGGACATCCCCATCCATACGGCCCTCTCTTTCAGCGTCAAGTGCTAGAGAGCGATTTTCGTTCTCCTCAGCTGGTTCTGTGCAGTCTTCACTCTTAGACAAACTTTCTTTAAGTTCAGGGTGAAGAAAACACAGTGAAAAGAAAGAAGACGACACCCTCTTTGCATTCTCTCCTACTGCAAACCTCCCCAGAGGTGCCTATCCAGAGGCCAGTGAATTCCCAGCCTGGGAAGTGTTTCCAGCAGCAGACTGGGACCCGGCAGCCGACGCGGGTCTCAGGGACGCGTGTAAGGGAGGAGAAGGGCCGACGGGGCGTGGAGAAAAAGGCGATGCTCTCAGCCCCCAGGCGGCCTGTCGCAGCATCCTGCTGACCGAGGGATCGGGGATAGGACAAGGTGGCGGGACCTGGAGGGTGCAGTCGAGCTTGAGAGTATTTGTGTGGCGAGAGGCTGCGAAACGGAGGAAAACATCCTTCCAGCTCCATCCTAGGTCCTTCAGGAGGAGAAAAATTATGTTGATAGACTTGACCCGACACCTTAGCAGAGTTGAGGCATCTTGGGGTGAGGGATGCCACCTGGTATCCCGGCTCTGCCCTCGGGAGGGAACTGCTAGAGACTGCAAGGAAAGTCTGAAGAGCTCCAATGGGATCAAAGGCATCTGAGGGTCTCTGCTGAGACCCGCAGGGTGGCCAGTAAGTCTTCCTCGGGCTCTACCGCGACCTACCGGCCCCCCAGGCCCGGCCCTGATCGCTGCTCTCCGGATCCAAAATCCACAGCACCATCTCCTGGTCAGCGGGAGAAATGCATGGCCCGCCTCGAAGGAAGCGGAGTTTATGCCCGCAATGGAAAGAAAGACTGGCGTGGGGCTGGAGACAGAAAATTACACGATAAAAAAAAGCCCAAAACCCAAACACAAAACACCATTAAAAAAAAAAAAAAACCCATAAGCAAACTATGGAAACTTAAAATAACCCTGTAAAGTGTGTTGGCACAGGGAGCTAAATAATCACTCCTCGGGTCTCCCTGTTGAAGCTGAAGTCTATGGGCTGAGGGCTGTGCTTGGACAGGAGGAGTCAAAAGGCTCTCAGCAGGTATTGTATGTATATTCATTTACATAGATACACACCAGGAAATATATGTA